TATATATATATATATATATTGGGAAACAAATTATCTATAATCAGAAGAGTATCAATGATAACTATGAATAGCAAATTTAAGAAAAGGAAGAGCTCAGTAAATTTTTCTGCAAACATGTAAAACCTGAGACTAATAATATTGAAAACACAAGGTTTTAAATATCATTAAAAATTTTCCATGCATCTGTTAAGAGCGCTACAAACATTTGACAAAGGGGAAGCGATATGCTGTGTAATATTATGTACATTTCCTATATAAATCAAGATACGTCTATAACTTGTCTTATACATAAAGAAAGATTCGTATTTTCGAGTCATTCGTGTTTAAAAAAAACATGATAGCAAATAGGCAAGAACATCTTGTAAACTTGTTATAAATTTATCTTACAAATAATTTCATTTTTAAATAATTTTAATTATTGATGCAAATGGTTAAATTGCAAATAACTTTAGATTAGAAATAACGCATTGTTATTTCAATTCATTTAGATATCAATGATTTTCGAATAGACACACTTATTATCGTTTCGTGAATTTGATTTTTCAGCTATGCCAAATCTGCACAAAACATGCTTTATGATCGATTAAAATCCAGAGTCAAGAGATAATAAAAATAATACAGTTTATTCCCTTAGTACTCGTGTCGTTAGCGTGAATGCTACTTTCATAGTTGCATTTTCGTTTAAAAGTGCCTTGGTGTGTCATAGGTCGCAGTAAGTCATTCATAGAAATGATTGACTATACAGTATATGATTGGCTATGTAAGGAATTGGCATACACTTTGCAACATACTAGCTGCCTTTTGAATTATGGATTCTTTTTTTAGAAAGCAAGCCATAACATTGAATTTTTTATAGATCATAATCGACACATCTTAAGCGTATAACGGCGAACGGAATTATGTCCGATACATAATAGTGCTTTTGCAAATCACGATTACAGTCTCACGATCTCGTTTTGTTGTTTGTTTTTTTACTATAGAAAACGTGTGTACAAATATAAAACGCATAAACTGATCTCAACGCCAGCGTTATGTTACATTCTTTCCTCAGCAGCAAAAGCAGTATTGCTGAGCAATCTTCCTCTGAATCAATTCATACATAGAAAATATATATTATATAGAGAAAGGAGTGTATATATAAAATCCAGTCATACCTTGGAATCGCTTAAGCGTTTTGAGTTAAAACATGATTTATGTGTTACATCTCTTTTAATCACCCAATTCTCTTAATTATGCGTACGCCACATTCTACTAGTTAGTGTTGTTTAGGTGATTACTTCATGATAAACTTTAAAAAGCGAGTACATGCAAAAAGAAAAAAACTTGTACAACCAATATAAGTGTGTTGCAATATAATCCATCAAAAAGTAATGCTTTAAGCTATCAATAAAATATTCATTGATAAGGATATTTTCTCCATCTCACATCGATCTTATTCTCTCCATGCATAATTGCTATAATTAAAATCATGTTTTACCGTTGTAACCGAAATCTATACCGTACAGAGTTACATGCAGAATTGCAAACCACATCTCGTAAATCGCAATAACTATGAAGCTTTCGATTGATCGATCAGGCTACGAGAGGAACGGATTAGCCACAGAAGTTGTATTCGCTGTCCATGGATCCTGTCGAATCTGATTGATTGTAGGACGGGGTGGTGGAGTCACAGTTGCAAACGGATTTGCTGCATATGACATAGTTGCTGCAAATACATTCATGTTCAATTATTAATGTACAATAATTTATGATACTTATTGTGAAAATTTGTTTCAAACATTTAAACATCTTTTAATATAGCAATATTCAAGATTTTTGTATCAATATCTTGAAGGAAAATAAAAAATATGTCATTTTGTAATGTAAAAGTATAAAAAAAGTATAAAAAACAAATATTTTATATTTGTACATAAAGTGTAAAATTTCCTGTTTCTTGTTTTTTCCAGTATCATGATATTGGTTATTCCTGATTCTAGATATTGATCTAAATCTTTCAAACTCTAAGTTTATCCAATATTATTATAATTTAATATTTATTGTCTCATTCTGTGTTAATAAATATATCTTATAAGATAGAAAAATATAATCGCAGAACTTAAGAATATATATCTAAAAAGAATTAAATT